TTGTATATGCATAGCTTTCAATCATTAGAATGCATACTACATACATTGTGATCAATCATTAAAATACATAGTACATACATAGTGATCAATCATTAGAATGCATAGTACATGCATAGTTTCAATCATTAGAATACATAGCAAGCAATCATTAGAATACATAGTACATGCATAGTGATCAATCATTAGAATACATAGTACATGCATACTGATCAATTATTAGAATGCATAGTACATGCATAGTGATAAATTTGCATAGTACATGCATACTGATCAATCATTAGATCACATAATACATGCATAGTGATCAATCATTAGAATACATAGTACATGCTTAGTGATCAATCATTATAATACATATTAAATACATAGTGATAGTACATGCATAGTGATCAATCATTATAATACATATTACATACATAGTGATAGTACATGCATAGTGATCAATCATTAGAATTCATAGTACATTTGTGATCAATCATTAGAATGCATAGTACATGCATAGTGATCAATCATTAGAATACATATTACATATATAGTGATCAATCATTAGAATGCATATTACATGCATAGTGATCAATCATTAGAATGCATTGTACATGCATAGTTCTGTACGTGACTCTCATTGACGTTCGTGTGGAGTTAACATCTCCAGGCAGTAGTGGGGCACGTCAACCTTAGAAGTACCTGGGCAGGACAAACATATATGTAAGCTCATGCTACAATTACACATTCCTTGTGATCCAATGAAGCCAACGTGCTGTTTGTGTATTACCTAAAGTGCGGGCGAACGCATGGCTGCAATACTATTCTCGTTTTAGTGCTATCCATGGGGGTACACTTTCAGTTGTATTTTGCGTATTGATTATCTGGCAGTCGTATATGATGTATGGGCCAGTTTCTATGTAAACCTACAGCTGATACTATGTTCGAGGTTCAACGCTGGTGTGGTTGAATCTGTGCCCATTCCAGTTCAGAATCTATTTCTAAAATCGTAGGAGTTAAATCGTGTATCTTCACATTTCTCATCCATTCAATGTAACCATGAGTGTAGTCAGCGCATTTTGTCCACCAGTGTACGCATGAAACAGTGAGTGTCTCTACACATGCAGGTATGCATACTCATTACTGTTGCGGTGGATTCCTCACACAGGCAGAATACTGGCACGATCCGCTCCAAGAGGAGGTGTACAAGAAGTCCTGCGTGTTTATGCCAGAGATCAACAATGAACTGGCCGCCAAAAACCAGACATATAGGGAGAATCTGCAGTCTTTGAATAGATTTGTTATGATTAAGTTCACGAAGGATACCATGGTTACGCCACCAGAGAGTGAGTGGTTTGGATTCTACGCACCCGGCCAAGATAAGGAGATCACGACTTTGAAAGAATCTGATCTGTACAAAGAGGTGTGTGTGTGTGTTTATCGTATTCCTGTACGTACGATATTCTAACGGGATACGGTGAACATGATTATATCGAACTGTGCAGATATGTGTGCATTCTGGTATAAATATATATTTATAATATAATAACCTCACCGCTGAAATATAGAGCTGTATTACGATATGACTACATGATTCATGGATTGTGCCATTTACAACTGGCCCGCAATGTTGAGATGATAGATACAATGACATGATAAAACAATTCCTGAGTCTGCATTACTTCTCCGTATGAGGGTTTTGTTCATAAAATTTTGATCAAATATAACTTACCTTAGCCTTACATTCAGATGTAGATACAAGGTGTATGTACCATTTGTCTGAATCTTGATGGCACCTGAGCACGACAAAAGGACTATGAATATGTCACAAGGAATTTCGTGTCGTTGCGATATAAATTTGTATTCCGTTAATGCCAAAACAAATGTGCATCTGAACATGTACTGAATACGAGTATATTCGATTGCTTAACGTGCAGGCTAGCAAGGCCAATTTTACTCACTCGTACTTCAGAAACATTGTAAATATTGTCCATCGTTGCTGATATTATATATATATATATATATATATATGTATATTTGTATACATATCTCTATGTGTGTGTTTGTGCGTATCTATAAGTTTATATCTATATATATATATATGTGTGTGTGTGTGTGTGTGTGTATTTGATTTTATGAGAAAGTACTTGATACATAGTCCTGCAACCTCACCAGGAATGGAGCGCTTACTATTTAGTTACACGCCTGAATGAGCTGGAACATTCAGCAATGCTGAATTATTTGATTGGCGATACATTCGTGTCTGCTGATTTTCTATAAATTTTGTGCAGGACTGGCTCGGTCTTCAGGAAATGGACAAGAACGGCCAATTGGTATTCCTCTCAGTGGAAGGGGACCATCTTAGATTTTCGCACGAGTGGTTTGTAGCGGAAATCATCAACAAATACTTGGTGTGATAGTACACAGGTTGGCACATTGGTCTAATAAATATCGTGAACACATATACTCATACATAGAAGCTGAAAGTTATGCTGCAAATCTCCTAGCACACTTGTAGTGTGGGAATAAATAGACTGGCAGGCATCAGATACATGTGGATGCCGCTGAATTGATACTGTTTACGAACCACAACAAATACAACACTTGTGCTAAACTTACTCAATACTTAATTTATCGATTATGCACACATGAATATAGTTATCCAATAATATGCTTATCATATTCTCGACACCATTTTCAGTATTCTCTGACAGCCAGTAAAACTTTAATAATTTCGAGTAGAATAGCAGTGACACAATACAATGCCGCCCGGAAATCTGAACTAACTCCGTTGCGTGCACAATATATTCCCAACTTTTGCACAGGCAGCGCTTGTATCAGTGATACTGTTGATACCTTCTATTTGTACCGTCCTATGACATGTACTTGACAGTGAGATTGTTGATACCTTCTATTTGTACCGTCCTATGACATGTACTTGACAGTGAGACTGTTGATACCTTCTATTTGTACCGTCCTATGACATGTACTTGACCACTTGTGTCCGTCTTCGCTTCGATCGTCGTGTACTAGACTGCGCTTCATCATCGATTTCAGACGCGAGTACCAAACTTTCCTCATCCGCCATTGTTCCCACTACATTGCCGCCACTGTCTGTACAGTCGTCAATAGTCTGTCTTCGCTTCCTGGTAGAACGGGTGGTCTTTCGACAGTGCTGCAAAGTGTCGTTCACAGTTGTATTGGTCGTAGGTTTTGGCTCATTTCGGCCAGCAATTGGATCAGATTTACTACTGGCAGTCGATGTGCTCATATTTGCTGTTCCGTCATTATTTGCGTCGACATCGCCGCTAGGGCTCTCAGTATCAGTATCAGTCCCTTGCGCAACCTCTATAACATTGTTGTCCGTACTTTGCGCTTTTTCAACCTTCACTTTGATACACTCGGCCTTCCCCTTCATGTTCGCCTCCCCTTCAGTTGCTGTAGGGTTGCCTGACGAAACTTCCCCTGTACCCACAGCTTTGACGCTTGCTTTTTTATTTTTCACTGACTCTGGTTTCACTTTCCCTGCTTTTAGTTTATCCTTTTTCTCTTTGGTTTTTCTCTCCTTATTCATTGTAATCTTCAACTCTTTCTCGGCCTGCTTAACTAACTTTGCCTCCTCTCTAGCCTTTCTAGCCGCCTCTTTCTGAATCATACTTTCTTCAAACATACTGAATAGGCCCAGAGTTTTTTCCTCGCGTAGACTATCTGTTTTGATACCTCGAGTTTTGAAACAAAGCTTCCGCTTCTGGCCGTCGGTTAATTTGTCCCACAGATCGCGGTATTTGCCATTCTCACTATCCAGCAGAGTTTGAGTGGTGGCAGGAATATCAACCCCTAATGTATTCGGGTTCTCCCACAGAGATACTGATACTTCTGACCCTAGAGAGGTGCACAACTGCTTGAAACTGGATTGGTTGACTATCAGATAGAAGGAACCATCTCCCTTGTGTTGTATACCTACTGGCATTGTGACAGAATTGGCGCCTTTGATCCGGCACATAAGGCGCGTCTTCCACCCTTGTGACCACCTTCGGCCACCTTCCTTGGAGAGTGCGACATATACACTACCATATTTTCTGTCGTATAGTGCTTCAAGTGTTGTGCGGTATGTGTATGTCAAACGCATTCTGGCTATGCACTGATCTGTGAATACCAATCTAAATTCAATATCCAATCAATACGCACGAAATGATTGCTAATCGGTAGATAGTTAGTTCGACCTGTATATTGTATCAATCTGGTTTTTCTCAGAAATGTCGTGCGGGGAGATATGCGCTGAATAAATAGTGTGTACGTGTTGAGATTCCTAAGACAGACGAGATGTCCGTTGTTAACTGCATATTTATTACATGATGACAAGAGAAGATAAGTAGGCGGTCGGCAGTAAATATAGAATTTAGTATTTGAATATCAAGGCCCAGTGTCCCAAGCCGCTCAAGTCTCTAAGCCTCGTAGCTAACGAGTGTGAACTGTGAAGTGATATTCAGAATAATTCAAGTTGTACTCTAAAAACATAATTTTCATCGCATGAAAACTTCTTGAAAAATACTTTTCACATTAAAATAAAAAAATTTCTATTGTTGTTTTTAGAAAAACATATATAAAATAGTTCCGTTGACTGTGTGACGTATCATAGCCAACACTGACATGGTCTATTTTTAGAACAGCTGACAATCAAAATAACAGGGGCAACATCACAGTCATCAACTTTTCTGAACTGGGGTAGAAAATGTACCAGAACTTCGTCAAGGTGGATAAAATCGCACATACACCCACGCGATAGACATGCTTCTAGGATTATAATAGGTTGGATAATATACCCTACCGCTTGATGATGTATTGGCGTATATCCCAAGTATTGCTGTTAGAATAGACCGCCTTTGATATGATATAGGAATGCCCTAAACATCTATGCGATAGTCTTCGAAGATTCGAAGCATGCTCAGATTATATTATGGTCGTGACTACATAAGTGGGCAAGGGTCTGGGACTTGTGTGTCTACCGGGACTATTTTCACATCCATCCGTAAGATATAGCAGCATATCGTGAACTGAGGCTCACAGGAGAATGATCAGAAAGCCGTACTGCCGTCGAATACTACCGATGCTTGAATGTTTAACCGGCGGCAACCAAATAGCTAAAGGCCCTGTATTAAATTGTAAGTCTCGAATTCATGACAATACATATAATCTTAAATCAAAAACAATTCACTCGCGTTGCACGTTCATTTTATTTTCTGCTGTCGTTACTGATTAAAGTATGGTTGACTGATTATTATTTACTGTTGAATGCGAACGAAAGACGTCCTTCCCAAAAGTAATGGTGCATCTAAATTTACTGTAGCTATATATAAATGTGTGCAAATACATACTAAAATCCTACAAATGATTGTACATATAAGTCATTATTTTAACCTGCCCGAATATGGATAGATACTTTGAAAGTATACGAATCCTTGTATATATGAACAACATGAATGGTCCACATACATACTTTATATATATATATATATCTATATATACCGCGTACATACATACATTCATACATACATACATACATACAGGGCTGCATACATACATACATGCCTGCATGCATGCATAAGTGCCTGCCTGTATACATACATACATATATGTATACATATATATATACATTCGTATATATATATATATATATATATATATATGTATGTATGTATGTAAATATATA